GTGCGTCCCTGAATCCCAGTGATTGAAATAGCACCTGCTTGTGGCCGGTGCTTGGTAAACATTTGCTGGATGAACAAATTGTTGAATAAATTGTCGTATCTAATAATTGCTGCATCCCCATGAAGTGGGGACTGTTATCCCCTTTTTTACAGGTAAAGAGACAAAATCACGGATGGTTCAGCATCCTGCCTAAGATCCCTGAGCTCTGAGGGGTGGGGCTTGCATCCAGGTCATGACCCCGGGGCACGTGTTCTTTGCCACTCAGGAGTGCAGTCTGGCTGGGCAGACAGATGAGCGATGAGCGTGGGCACACAGGAGCGCGCCGAGGAGGGTGCCTGGCTGAGCCTCGGAGGGAAAGGAATGAGGGAAGATCAGAAGGGCCTCCTGGAGGTGGCAGTGTCCCCAACCGCGTCTTCTTTTGTCTAAATATGTGAACTAATCCCTGAGATTCTCATGGCGTCTGTGCCAGCAAAATCCAGGAAACGCCCAGCCTGTTAAAGCAGTTTTACTTTCTCTGAACGTGACAACCCAGGGCACAGGAATGGCAGAGCGCACTGCTGAAGCCTCAGGCCCTGTAGGACGTGGTAGCTGCTGGGGGTTCTTTACTGGGAGGCACCGCAGGACAGCTGAGGGGCAGAGCTCAGTGCTGTCACGTTTGGCTGCGGCTCGGTTAACAGGAAGGTGAACACAGGCAGGACTGTGCCTTTAAGGTGCTGGGCAGCCAGACGGTGCCGATCATGCTCAAGGTCAAGTCTCGTCAGGTGGTCACTGAAAGGAAGAGACAAAATGAAAAAGTACCTTAGTGTCCCCGAGGAGGCATAGGCGGACTCCAAGGGCTTTGCCAAGGGCGGTCCTGGGAGACCTCTTGGCATCCGGCCTCCGATAAAGACGCTGCACTCCCAGTTCCCAGCGCTGAAAGGAACAGCAGACTTTTTGTTCTCTTTAATGTTAAGGCGAAGCCAAATGCCCATCACAAAGCCCTGTTCCCCGCTACCCCCCAACCTGGGGATATCACATTTTCGGGCGCGTCATTTTCTGTTTGGGGTGGTTTTACAAGATGAGCCGATAGGGTGCCTGGGTTGCCTGGAGTTACGTAACTCATCTGTGCGGCCAGGGCAGCTTACAATCTTAGGATTTGCCCCAACAAGCAAACTCAGAAAAAGTGCTGAGGAAGGCGTGGGAGGGTGGCTGTGCCCAGTGACTGCCTGGCTGGGCTCTCATGGAGAAGAATCTCCTCTCTCTCTGAATTGCCTTTGGAGTTGATTTCTGCACATGGCATTGGTGTTTCAGTGCCGGCAGCCCGTAGGGGCCCAGCCCCTGCCAGGACTCTGCCAAGGCAAGCAGCATATTCGGACGAACTCGTGCGGTAAGTGTGTTTGCTGCGTGGCTGCTGTTTGTGTCCTTTGTGGTGTGGCCCGAAAGGAGAAGATAGCATGGGGGGATGTTTCCCTCTGGCTCTGTTCTGCTTGCCGGGTCGTCTGTGGACACGTGGTAGGGAAATGGCAGCATTGAATCGTCGATAGGCAGAGCACAGGGACCTGGGAGGTTGCTCGCTCCGCATCTGTCATCCGGGCTCAGAGGAGGCAAGTGACGTGGGGTCGTGAGCAGCAGGTCTGCCGGATTCTCACTCCCTTTCCTTTCAGAATTTTTCGCAAGGGCTGACAGGGTCTCTAAGGCCCCCTCTGGTCTCTCCAACTCTGCAGTTTTCATAATCCTGTGTCTTTATCCTGGTTTCTTAGAACCTCGCCTAGTGTCTCGGTCAACAAGGATGTTGTCAGAAAGTAAAGAACAGGGTCAGACAATGTCTCCTTCCCTCTTTTCTGTACTCAGTTCCTTTTTTTCTTCTTTACTAAATGTGCCTGGCCCTGTACCTCCCGCCCACACTCCAGAGATGGAAAGTTTGCTCATCGGTTCTACTCTGGCTTGTCTCACCCGCCGAGGGGCTGGGGCTGGCGTTTCTCTTCACTCCCTCTGAGCTGATGAGGGTCTGACTGTTGATGACCCATCTGGTGTCTGTCCTGTCTATTGCTGTCTGGGCCACAAATCAGTGGATTCCTGGGAGGCGTGAGTTTCCTCTCGTCCCAGTCCAGTCACTTTTAGGGGTCAGGAGATAAGGAATTTTAGATGAGAGACGATTATGGAGGCGTGATGGATGTGTGTTCGTGTGTATGCCTGTTGGCTTGTTCAGTAGTTCTGTTCAACCAGCAGCTCTTCATGGCCAGCTTTTTTTGCTGGGTCCATCGAGGACAACTGGCCTCACCCCCAGAGCCTTGAAGGTGGGCAGAGGTGTGAATGACTAGCTGTGACCCCAGTGACAATGGCTCCAGCTATGCTTCTAGGAGCAGTCCTGCCTGAGCTGTCTTCTTCACAGGGCCATCATTTAGGATTTGTTCCTTTTCTCTTGCTAATTTAAGCCATTAAACTCAAGGATTCATTGACTGAAAACATTCTCAAATAAAATATTATGACCTTCTTTTATGAGTTAAATTTAAGGTCTTGCTGATCAGTTCCTGTTCAGTACAAAATTTTTAATGTGTTTTCTATCAAAACTTTATCATCTAAATGGTACTTATTTGGCTAAATGAAACAGAAAAGAATGAACAGTGAACTATTCTTTCTTTCACAGAGTGTAAGATGTGAATTAGAATCTAGGACATGATCATTTTTTTCTAAATTTGTAACTTAGAAATGTTTTTTGCTCCTTCTCTTACTGGAATCCCCTATTTAATAGCTGATTCGTTTTTGTCATTTTAATGTGGGAGGGGGCTCTATTATGCTGATTTTTAGAGCTAACATTTAA